CTGAGCTTTGTCTGGCCTCTACTCGTTGACCTTTCAGGCAAGATTGGATGTATGGTTGCGAGAAGCCATCCTGTGTAGTTCCCAGGGTCATTGAGGTACGCAAGGCGTCACACCACGTCAAGGTGCAGTCTCATCCTGATGATTGGAGTAGGAATAAATGTGTGTTGTGTCTTAAAGAATCCCATGAACTCATCTTCCACTCCAACGTTTTTTAGTGTAGCCTGCAGTTGGTAATCACTGCAGAAAGCTGTATATGGTTTACGAATGGTCTGGTAATCTGGTTTTGATAAATACCTGATCAACACAGGGTCGAAGACAGCTTAAACATGGGAAACACATTGAATCGGACATGGAACGGCTAGGTAAACGCCGTCTATGGAATCCGGCTATGGAGCCGCGATGAACTTATTGCCTGCACCGTTGTATTTAGTCTATTTGGTTTTCATGAAGTACGTTTCCATTGGTGTAGCGTGTTCTGTCCATGGTATTCATACAACACACTAATACTACGACAGTAAGCTGGATGATGTGTTTTTTGGATTTGAAATTTCTTGTTGCACATTCGTTTTTCAAATCATTACGTAATCCTCCATCCATTTCAACCATAGGGTCCAGCTGTACGAGATCCGGGAAAAGTACTGCGTTTGTCCAAACCGGCTCATTTTGTAAGTGGTGAACAACAAGATGCAGTCGAGTACCTTATCCATCTGCTGCAACAACTACATGACGAAGAGGTTGCACTAAGACGTCCTGATTGCACAAAGTGAGTTCTTGTGTACCACAATGCACACTGAACTTTGCTATTTATCGTCTTATTGTCGTGCACTTCATCATTATTGTTTTGCAATTTTCCCCAAACCTCTCAGTGCGCGCAATTCGGAGTACATGGGGACCGGAATCAATTTGACTTTGAACAACACAGACCAGTCACCCCTTGGCTCTTCCTCCTATGGTACGCAGATTTTTATGGACAGCAAAGTTGATGCCCTATCGTCCTGTAATGACACACACTCGTCAGACAATCAAGACAATTCCAGTGTGTTGGATACAAACTTGTCTATTGTAAATAGACTGTTTGGCGGAACGTTAGTCCGGCACACCTCATGTACTGAATGTTTTCACACGTCGAGCATTCTGGATGAACCATTCTCTTGCTTGTACGTGCCTGTGGCTTCTAATGACGAAGGTGCCGCGTGTACCCCCAATGAGCGTTCCACTTCGGAAGTGAGTGCTTTATTTTTAGGAGTTTTATTTGCAATACAGTAGTCATACTCATCTCATTTGGTATGAGAGATTTGTTGCCACATAATCGATGCAACCGTATCTGTTACGGTATTTGCATACAAACCAAACGGGAAGATTCTTTTTCGGCTGAACTCTTTAATTTGGAACAGACGGTCGTGGAGTACCT